ATCCACGTACACACAAGATACAAGCAGTGTTCCGACAAAGGAGCATTTCAGTATAAACATTATTATCCTGATTCTTATAAAGGTGTTTGGTTTTGTGGACATAGTTATGATTCTTACTTGCGTTGCTATTTGCATTTATGATCGGAAATATACCTCCAATACTCGTGAGTTGAGAGACACAGTTGTAACGTTTACCGAAAACAACTCGATGTATGAAAACGTTCAAATTATACTTCCTCGTACCTGAGTTTATATTAGACACATCACTGTTTTTTTTTTTTTTTTTTTTTCCTTCAAAGTTTACGTTCATATTATGTACATATACACTGAGTGTTTCATAACATTTCTCGATCTCAATTACCCGATAAATCTTAGATATGAAAGAAATATGATAAAATAAAAATACGGTATTATTCCAATGGAAGGGATTTTACATCATATATACAGTTTTACATCATACGATTTCATGATTTGTTTACGATATGATATTGTAGATAGTTATCACGTCATAAGTGGCTTATGACTTAAAATGACTTAAACCAAAGTGTTACCAAATAATTATCTACTGAATGATTCGCTTTGAGTTGAATTTAAAACCTCATACATGTATGATAATCATGCAGCATCTAATTCAATTGGACACTGAAAGTACTCTGGTTCAGAGGACGATCACAGGAATTTCCAAACAATGTTGACGAAATTTGATTTACAGATAAAAAAAAAAAAACATTTGAATGCTTCTGCGAGTAAGAGAAATTGCTGCTCCCGGGGAACAATTTTATCCCGAAAAGTCAATACGAGGAAATACTAAAGTTTTGGGCATTTATTGCATCAGGTCTGATGGTTCTTGGATGGCAACGTTCTGACTGTCAGTGTTAACCGCTACCAGAGAGTTTATATATTTCAGCCTTCGCTAAGAAAGGCATTTATTTTAACAAGGAACTGTTACACCCACACACTCTCTACCATCGGCTCATACATTCACCTCTGTCGTTGGCTAGCGTAGATCACAGTGATAAGCACGAGAAAGAGTGGCCTCTTCATTCTCAAGATTCTCCACCCCCTTACATTTATTTTTTCTTTATGGTTATCTGATAGATGATTTATACCAACTTGTTCCCAAAAATTATCCTCATATGTTTGTCTGCTATCAATTAAGTGAGAAATTAAATGACATCGCAATTACCTCATCGACCACAAAAGTGACGTTATCTGAAATACATGATGTAAAACAGAATAACTGATTATTTGTGAAGATGGCTCAACTAAAAGCATGGTAATCGGAAACTTCATATGATATTTGATAGTCGGGCACTGTCCAGCTACTCTTAGAGCGATTGAAACGCTATAACTACCAATTGTTACTATGAAAGGCCTGATTTTTATGGATAAAACCTGGTCTGGGCCGCTTGGCCTGACCTCTAATTTAGCCTCTATTAATTTGACTCCAAACCAAATTTGGTCCCAGGCCTCAAAACTTGGCCTAGCCTCAAATTTGGCCTCTGTAAAAAAAATTGGCCTCACCCAAAAATGTCTTCTTTTTTTTTTTTTTAGAATTTGATTGATTTTTTATTTGGTTTTACTTTTTTCAAAGTCGATAAATATTTCTGTTGCTTTGTAAATGTGCACATCAAAATAATCATGCACTTCCACCAATTTTAACGCTATTAAAAATGTTAAGCAGCCGGAGTCCTGAAAGGAAGCAAGGATCCAAGCTACTATTAAAGTACATAGCAAGAGCGATAACTTTTGCAAACCTGACAGACATATTAATCAATATGCATGAAATATTTTAAGAAGCCTTAAAATTCTTTTATCCATCACTGACGAATCTGTAATAATAAACTGAGAGAGCTAGGTATTTCAAAATTGATCCCAATGTGACAGGTAAAGATTAATCTCTGGGTTTCAATGACTTTTAAAATCGCCTACCTTGCAGCTTTCACAGTAAACATTAGGAATATTTTCAGCAGTTATCTCTCTTAATTCTATCATCACGACGTCAGGGGTCCTACAACGAGCTGCCTCGTATGTTGGCCCCACTCCTCAAGTCCCAATGGGAATAAAATTCATTAATTCTGTTTCTTTACCCATATTTAATTTGCTGCACATCAAAATTTGTTGTACTATGTTAAGTCATTTGAAAGAAGCAGGAGATGTTCAAAAGTTTACCAAAGATGATGGAAAGAATAACAAAACATACATTGTAATAATAACAAGCATTCTGAGAGTATTGCATTAGCAATTCTAGTCCCCTTCCGGCAAGTGTAATCTGGTTCCCGTTAAACATTAAAAAATGCCATAATTCCGTCAAAAATCAATGAAGCGGAACGAAATGCAAACTTCGTCTATAACTCATCAAGGTAAAGTCACATACCAAAAATCAGCTCAATATCTGCAAGCGTTTACAAAAAAAATTGCGGAAAACCCTGAAATATTGAAAAGGGCGTAATTCCGTCAAAAATCATTGAAGCGGAACGAAATGCAAACTTGATCTGTAAGTCATCAAGATACACTCAAACTCCAAAAATCAGCTCAATATCTGCAAGCGTTTAGAAAAAAAAGTGCGGAAAACCAAGTGGGACAGACTGACAGACAGACAGAGAGACAGAGAACAGACAGACAGAGAGATGGACGGACAGACTCAGAGGAAACCTATAGTCCCCTCCGGTTTCACCGGTAGGGGACTAATAAAAAATGAATTCACATTTGCTGCAGAATTAGAATTTATCATTATTACCTTGGTGTATAAATACAGTGTGACAAGTGGATTAATCTAAACTGCTTCGTTTTTTTTAATTAAAACCTGAAAATTTCCAATTTTCTAAATCCCCCCTAAAAAAAGAAAGAAAAAAAAAACAGGAGGCCCATGGGCCACACCCCTCACTAGAGCAAATTGGCTATGAGAAAAAAACATCGGTCATTATTGAAATTTAAATATAAAAATTGTCCACGGAAGGGGGGGGGGGGGGTCATGATTTAAACAAACTTGAATCTGTACTTCCATGACTAATCATGGCTTATGTAGATTTTTTACTTTACATTTATCTGCTATTCTATTGTAAAACTTTGATTGCTCAGTGTGGCCCCTAACTACCCTCGGGGGTCAAGATTTAAACAAACTTGATTCTACACGTAATGAGGATGCTTGCATATAAATATGATCATAGCTTTGCAGTTCTTAAAAGACTTTTCCTATACATTCCCATATAAAACTTTGATCGCCCATTGTGGCCCCATCCTACCCCTGGGGTCATTATTTTTACAATTTTGATTCTACACTTACTGATGATGCTTCCATATAAATATGACCAATCAATAACTTGCTGTTCATAAGAAGATGATTTTTAAAGATTTTTTTCTACATATTCGTATGTAAAACTCTGATTTCTAATTGGGGCCCAGATCCTTCTCCTGGGGCCAATAATTGGAACAAATTCGAATCAACACTACTTCAGCAATTCACCTTTTCTTTACAAGAAGAATTCTTAAGATTTTTCCTATATATTTCAAAGCAAAAATTTGATTCCCTATTGCGGCACCAACTTACCCTCGGGGGCCATGATTTGAACCATTTAGAATATACACTACCTCAGAAAGATTCCACATAAGTTTCATCTTTTCTGGCCCAGTGGTTCTTGAGAAAAAGATTTTTATGACCCCACCCTATCTGAGTCTTTTCTTGGTTATCTTCAACTGGAAGGGGACTTGGCCCCTTCATTTTAACAATTTAAACACTCCTTCACCTAAGAATACTTTGTAGCAAATTGGCCAATTGGATCTCGAGAAAATGTTGAAAATGTGATAAGTTACAGACACACGGACAGACGGACAGACGGCTGGACAATGGGTGACCAGAAAAGCTCACTTGAGCTTTCAGCTCACGTGAGCTTAAAAAAAGAAAAAGAAACAAGATTAAAAAATTCAAACATTTAATGAAATTTGACAAGCACAATGCACTGATTTCACATTAATAAAAGACAAACATTTATACATCCTATTTACAATGATTAATATATGTATGCTGTAAAACTTAGATTCAGATAACTAGGAAGTCAAGAAAAAACTCTTCCAAAAGACACAGTAAAACTCTGAGAAATTGTGATGACAAGCATCGCTAAATGCAAAAAGGATAAACGAAAGAACAGTGATCAATTCCTTTAAAAAAAATCCAGTAAGTAAATCAAATTGTAAAGCAAAAACACGGACTTCTGGAAACACCGGAAGTGGGATCAAATGCCAGATCAGAAGAGAATACCAAATTTAACATCACAGTATAACTCGGTTAAAGCGAAGTTCTTTACGTTGTGATTTTAAATCGCTATATCCGTAATTCATTATATCATAACATACAGCAAATTCGTGATATACATTTTCGAATGACTTCCAAATATCTTTAGAGAATTATTAAGTACAAAACGACCTGCCGAACTAATCATGGCGTTGCTGTTCTTGAGAAGATTATTTTACAGGTATTTCCTATATATTTCCATGTTTAACTTAGACCCACTGTTGTGGTCTTACCCGACGGTCATGATTTTCACTAGTATGAATCTTCACTGTGTAATGAAGCTTTCACTCGTACCTTCTTTTCGGGAACAATGGTTCTTGAGAAAATTAATTGATTGTATGTTGTTTAACGCCCCATCCGAGAATTTTTCACTTATATATAGACGTCAACGTATGCCGGTGAAAGGCTTCAAATTTAGACCTATACTCGGCACTCAGGGCCACTGAGCAGTGGGGATTCTTTATCGTGCCAACGCATACCGTGAAACGGGACCTCGGCTTTTAAGGTTTCATCCGAAAGATCTGTGACAAGAATTTGTCTGCGAACTTTTCTAACAATTAACCTTAACATAATTAGTATAACAACATGTATATTTACGCAAAATTATACATAAGTGCCAGTTGACAAGATAGCATTAATACATACATACATGTATCAGTTTCCAAGCATTAGCAACATATCTTGAAAGATTAACATTATTTAAAAAAAAAAGTTTTAATCTGGTGGTAAATACTCATTTTCTTGATCCTTCTGTCTTCGAAAATACCTCTCCAGGGACTCCAGTTCTGCTATGTGTTCATGTATTGCTGTAGAAGTCTCATTCGAAAAGTTTGTTTCGTTTTCATATATTTTTCTTGCAATTACATTCAACTTTTTATTGTCTTCATTATAATTTTCACTGCTGTGTCCTGACTGAAGAATTGCCAACCTTTCTAGTCCATCACTAAGCGCATTAACCAACGTTTGACAATCATCTTCCTGAAAAAAAAAAACTGAATAGTTTAACAATTTAACTATATTTACAGGACAGGTACATGTATAATAATTTGAGCACTATATTATCATTGGTTGAAAATGATCCATGATAATGAGAAAGACTTGTGTTTATTTGAACAATAACGATAAAAAATTTAGTCTCAATGGCCTCATAGCATTGTTTAAACTTGAATTTATGTGATACACATTGCCTGCACTTTGGAAGAAATGTGTATATACGACAGATATAAGATGACATATTTTCATTTCATATATTTCCTAACTCTCTTGAAAATAGGAATTAGGCCTTTATTTGAATATGCTTGGGGTCAAGTTTGGTTGAAATTGCCCCAGGGAATTATAGAGGTCAAAAGAGCGAAAGCGTTACACACTTCATGTGAGTATTGGTACTATACTTCGAGTAATTACCTCAGTTACTTCTTTTTCTGGCTTTATCAGATTGACTGGAAAAAAAAATGGAAACAAAATTTATGCACCCTTTACACTTCATTACAAAAATGTCTTTGCCTGCCGAATGGCACGAGAGAGAGAGAGAGAGAGAGAGAGAAGCATAAGTGTCTCAACAATCACCTGAATATTTGCACATATTTCGGCTTGTCTGTAAATATGTGCCGTTATCAAAGCTATTCTCCTAATAAGATTGTATTAAACTAAAATTGATTAGGATTAATGTATTGTATATATCTAAAATTTTGTTTATTTAATTGATAATTTTGTGTATCTGCCTGTGCATCCGCACTTCCTCTTTCAATCAACGCCTGAAATCCCCTCGGAGCTCCTCGAGTGGCTCGTGCCTCGCACACTAACCTCGGACGTAAACGGTGTTCTACCAGTTTGCTGATACATTTGAAATTCCTCCAAATGTTATATTTTTGAAATCTGAGTTACTTTGTGGCACGCCCAACACTACATGTATGTTTTTGCTTTCAAACATTACTAACATAAGGTTGTAATCAAAAACAATATATAAAGGAAGAATTAGACAAGTTGAAAAACTTTTTGAAGAACTTTATGTAGAGCGAAATATGAAATGAGTTACAAGGCAGTTTCCGGCGGAGAAATATATCGATTTAATGCATATTCCTCCACCAATTACATCCGAGGTTTGTATGGAGCATAGCGAAGTCAGCCGAGGATTGACGATTGCCTGAAACCAGAAGACGGTTTAGAAATTCAGGGCTAAAAAATTTTAAAATACCCTCCCACCTCTACCCCATATGATATCTTTGTTTGACTTGTTCAGTGTTTCTGCCGTTTAAGTTTTATACTTTCAGATACCATAAGCTGTCTGCAGACACAGGAATCCTTAGACCTACATCTCTTCACAGGGTAATTTTAATGGTTTGAACAAAATTGAATCTACGCTAACTAAGGATGATTACATATTTCTTTGACTAACTGTGGGTTTTTTTCCTACAAGTTGGAACTTTCATTGTGACCCCACCCTAAGCCCGGGGGTCATGATTTGAACAAACTTGAATCTACACTATCTGAGGATGCTTCCATATAAATATGACCAATAATTGCTTTGCTGTTCTTGAGAAGATTTTTAAAGATTTTTCCTATGTAAAACTTTGATCGTCCGTTGTGGCCCCACCTTTCCCCCGGAGATCAAGATTTGAATAAACTTGAACCTACACCACCTGAGGATGCTTTCATATAAATATAACCAATCATAACTTTGCTGTTCTTGAGTAGAAGAGTTTTGAAGATTTTTCCTATATACTCCTATGTTAAACTTTGATCGTCCATTGTGGCCCCATTGTGGCCCCACCCTACCCAGAGGTCATGATTTGAACAAACTTGAATCTACATTACATGTACCTGACAATGATTCCACACGAGTTTCATCTTTCCTGGCCCATTGGTTCTTGAGAAGAAGATTTTCAAAAGATGCCATTAATTTTTCACTATTTTGTAATTATCTCCCCTTGGAAGAGGGCGTGGCCCTTCATTTGAACAAACTTGAATCCATTTCATCAAAGGAAACTCTGTTCCAAGTTTGGTTGAAATTGACCCAGTGGTTCTGGAGAAGAAAATGATATTGTGAAAAAGTTAACGATGACAACAACAACGACGACAGACAATGGACAAATTTCAATCAGAAAAGCTCAATTGAGTCTTTGGCTCAGGTGAGCTAAAAAGATTTTCAAAGATGTCATGTATATTTTCAATATACAATAGGCCCAAGGGCCTTGAATCACTCTTCTGATAAATTGTACAACCTATCACTTCTATTTGAAGCCTCTATAAAGTATCCTGTATATTTAGATAAAGCCTTGAAATTCCAAAAGTAGGTCATCATGACCTACATCTTGGTCAAAACACTCTGAGAACCCAAGATGAATCAACTGACAAAGTTTGATGATTCAAAGCCCCTTAATATCTTAAATATTCAGATATAGAAATGAGATTCCAAAAGTATGTAACAGTGACATACTTTCTGGTAAACATACTCCGAGACACAAAAAGGTCTCAACTCACAAAGTTTGATGATTTTAAGTGTCTCTTTATTTGAAATATTTAGTCATTGCCTTGAAATTCAAAAAGTAAATTACTGTGACCTACATTTTAGTTGACACATTCTGAGGACTCAAAGTACATCAACTGACAATGTTTGATGATTCAAATCCTATTAATATCTCAAATTTCAAAAGTAGGTCATGGTGACCTACTTTTCAGTTTACACACTCTGAGAACCCAGGATGCATCAACTGACAAAGTTTGATGATTCTAAGCCAACTAGTATCTGAAAATATTAAAATATAAAATTGCAAAAGTAGGTCATAGTGACCTACTTTTTCGTTGACGTTTTCTGAGGACCTAAGATGCATCAACTGACAAAGTTTAATGATTCCAAGCCAATTAGTACTGAAATATTTAAACATAGCCATCATTTTCAAAAGTAGGTCACCGTGACCTACTTATCAGTTGACTTACTCCGAGGACCCAAGATTCATCAACTTAAAAAGTTTGATGATTCTAAGCCAATTTGTAAATATAGCCATAAAATTTCAAAAGTAGGTCACAGTGACCTCTTCTTCAGTTGACGTACGAGCATCAACAATGCATCAACTGACAGATTTTAATGATTCCAAACTAATTAGTAGTTGAAATATATGAATACAACCATAAAATTTCAAAAAGGGTCATGGTGACCTACTTTTCAGTTGACTTACTCCAAGGACCCATGATGCATCAACTTACAAATGAAAATTTGATGATTTTAAGCCAATTAGTAGCTTCAATATTTAAATATAGCAATAAAATTTCAAAAGTAGATCACATTGACCTTCTTTTCATTTGACACTCTCCAAGTACCCAAGATGCATCAACTGACAAAGTTTGATGATTTTAAGACAATTAGTACCTGAAAATATTTAAATATAGCAATCAAATTTCAAAAGTAGGTCATGGTGACCTACTTTTCAGGTGACTTACTCTGAGGACCCAAGATGCATCAAACAAGAGGCCCAAGGGCCTTAACGGTCACCTGAGTATAATACAACAATTTAGAGGATCCATAAAGTATAAAATGAACTGAAATCTCTTACATTGGCCTCTCTTGGTCTTTGATGAACATTTAATAAGACAAGTCATTTTTGTCTCATTTTTATTTATCTATTACTTACAAATTTACCTGATCATTTATACTATGAAAGTACTTTTTGTATTATACAATAAAAATTCTTGCATAATTCTCTTATTCTATTAACCTTTTAAGTACATTATTTACAGTGATTAATTATCACAAGTAAATGGCAAAGGGGAATAACTCCTCTCAGTAGAATACAAATTAATAGAGCCCTGGCCTGGACCAGAACACTTGACCAAATGGTCCTGATGTACAAAAATCTGGTAAAAATACCCTTCCTTATTAAAACTTTTGCTCTTTTTGCCTCTGATATGCCCAGGTGCAGAGAAGATTTTTAAAGCATTAATGTATTTTCACTATATAATAAATAGAGCCCCGCCCTTACATCAGAACCTCTGATCCAGGGGTCATGAAATTCACAATTTTGGAAGAGGCATCCTTGCTTATCATAACCATGTATTTGTTTAAATAATACACAGGAGAAGAGAAGAAGATTTTCAAAGAAATAATTCACTCTCACTATATAATAAATAGAGCCCCGCCCTTACATCAGAACCTCTGATCCAGGGGTCATGAAATTCACAATTTTGGAAGAGGCATCCTTGCTTATCATAACCATGTATTTGTTTAAATAATACACAGTTTTTGGTAGAGTAACTCTTGCTTATCATTATTATGCATTCAATTTGTTTCAATAATACCCAGGAGTAGAGAAGAAGATTTTCAAAGAAATAATGCACTTTCACTATATGATCTATATAGCCCCGCCCTAGCATCAGAACCCCTGACCCTGGGGTCATGAATTTCACAATTTGGTAGAGTCACTCTTCCTTATCATAACTATGTATTCATTTTGTTTCAATAATACCCAGGAGTAGAGAAGAAGATTTTCAAAGAAATAATGCACTTTCACTTTATGATCTATATAGCCCCGCCCTACCACCAGAACCCCTGACCCTGGGGCCATGAATTTCACAATTTTGGTAGAGGGCTCAATGCTTATTACAATCATGCCAACAGTTTGACTGCTTGATGTCCAGGAGTAAAGAAGAAGATTTTTAAAGATTGCATTAATTTTGATGGTTTTGGCCCCACCCCTCAGGCCCCAGGGGGGCAGGGGCCACGAATTCCACAATTTTTGTTCCCTTTCATCCATAGATGCTATATGCCAAAATTGGTTAAAATTGGTTTGCTGGTTCCAAAGAAGAAGCTGAAAATGTTCAAAAGTTTACGACCGACGAACGACGGACGACGAACGACGGACGACGCACGACGACGGACGAAAAGAGATAGCAATAGGTCACCTGAGTGACTCAGGTGACCTAATGACAAAGTTTGATGATTCTAAACCAATTAGTACCTAAAATATTTAAACACAGCCATATAATTTCAAAAGTAGGTCACGGTGAGCTCTTTTTTAGTTGATGTTCTCCGAGGACCCAGGATCCATCATCTGACAAAGTTTGATGATTCCACACCAATGAGTACCTGAAATATTTAAATTTCAAAAGTAGGTCACTGTGACCTACTTTTCAGTTGACGTTCTCTGAAGACCCAAGATCAAGGCATCAACTGACAAAGTTTGATGATCATAGGCCTTAAATTGTGCAAAATATGCCTCTCAAACAATTTGAAAATGAATGCCTGCAAAATTTTAAAAGTAGGTCACAGTGACCTACTTTTTGATAAATATGTTTTAAGGCCCCAAGATGCATCAACTTACAAGGTTTGATGATTCTAAACCTCTCAGTATCTGAAATAATGACCTTAAATGTTTTGATGAGGATTAGCCATAAAATTCAAAAAGTAGGTCACTGTGACCTACTTTTCAGTTGACGTACTGCGAGGACCCAAGATGCATCAACTGACAAAGTTTGATGATCATAGGCCTTAAAGTGTCCAAAATATGCCTCTAAAGCCACGCCATTTGCCCAAGGCTGATGCCTTGAATAATTTTTTATCTACAACATATCCTCATCCTTATGTTTAAGTTTGGTGATAATCTACCCAGTGATTCTTGAGAAGAATATTTTTTAGCAACCAGTACTTTTGTTTTTATTTCCCTAATTATCTCCCCTTGTTTAAATGTCACATCCCTAGTTTTTGTATAAATGTGAGCCCTTCTTGAGATATGACCCATATTTTAAAAAGTTTATGCACACTACACAAATGGCTATAGCATTAGCTCTTTGAGCCTTTGGCTCAGAAGAGCTAATATCCAATTAAGCTCAACTTCAGTGCTGAAACCTTAGACCAGGGGCCTTGCAATTTATAATTTTGAAAGAGGGCTAAGTGTTTATTATAAACAAGCAAACATTTCGTCAGCTGGATACAAGTATCCCTGTGGAAAGATGGGGACTTTTATAGGTGAAATGTATTTTCAATCCAACTTGGTGCCACCCCAGAGCCTAAACCATAAATTGTGGGGTCATGAATTTCACAATTTGGTAAGTGATAATGAATCCAACAGTCTGGCTGTACATGTATTGTGCCAAAAAGTAAAGAAGATCTTAGAAGAGTACAATAGTTCTGATGATTTAGTTCCATTTTATCAGGTTCCGGTGAGAAAGAGACAATTCTCAATCTTATAATCCCCTTACAAATAGATGCCATACACAATATGTATTAAAATTGGTTCAACCATCTAAAAAAGCTACTGTAAATGTTAGAAAGTTTATTACATACACAAATACAGACAAAAGCAGATATGAACAGGTAATCCAAGTGATTCAGGTGGCCTTAAGAGTGAATAAAATTGGTCACCTGATCAAGAGCAACTAAAAAGATCGTGAATTTCATTTTAAAAATTACCATCACTAAAATAATACACTTAGTCTATTACAAATTAAAATATACAAACCTGGCTGCTCAACTTCAACTTTTTCAATTTTCTTCTCTTTTTCTGAATATTAAAAAACAAGAGGCCCAAGGGCCTTAATGGTCACCTGAGTATAATACAGCAATTTAGAGGATCCATAGAGTATAAAATGAACTGAAAGGTGAAGCTTTCTTGCCCAAAAGCAAGAAAAATCGGGTGATCAGGATTAACAAAATAATTAGTCTAGTATTCATTAACAGTTCATAAATTAGGTTCTAATCTGTTCCCCATTTATCACTCTCACCAGACAGTATATTAAGAAACTATCGGTGCTTCTGTACTCTTTTAATTCCTTGTGGAAATCTCTTACATTGGCCTGAGTAAGACTGAAGCCTTGGTCTTTGATGAACATTTAAGTACTGGTATTCCATCCCTAATAGCCTCAGATTCAATGAATTTGAATACATAACAGATGTGTATGGGTGGAATACTCAGTATATTTAGACATAATCTCCATTTATTACTATTAGCATGTAAGAATGGAAGTGTCCTAATTTATGACTTGACCTTTCTTGAAGAGTTATCTCCCTTTTTTTAAGTAATAAAAATCAATTTTAAAAAAATATATGGTAAAAAAATTGTTTTCAATTGTCATTCTATTTCTAATGATTTAATGGATCTTTCCACCACAGTAGTTATTGATATTCTTATTATCTGAATTTTTATTTAAAAAAAATTGCTTGTCTCCATATACTTCAATGCAATTACTATTAATTAAATATTGCTTAGTTAATTACGTTTTTGAAACTTTCACTTGGTAAATCCTTTTCTACTGTAAAGTTCTTTGAATTAATATCAGAGTATTATATACGTGACTGATATTTAAGGATAGAGAATTAGTTCCTATTAGGGATGGAAAACCTTAATAAGACAAGTCTAACTGATCATTAAAACTATGAAAGTACTTTTTGTATTATACAATAAAAATTCTTGCATAATTCTCTTATTCTATTAACCTTTCAAGTACATTCTTTACAGTGATTAATTATCACAAGTAAATGGCAAAGGGGAATAACTCCTCTCAGTAGAATACAAATTAATAGAGCCCTGGCCTGGACTAGAACACTTGACCAAATGGTCTTGATGTTCAAAAATCTGGTAAAAATACCCTTCCTTATTAAAACTTTTACTCTTTTTGCCTCCGATATGCCCAGGTGCAGAGAAGATTTTTAAAGCATTAATGTATTTTCACTATATAATAAATAGAGTCCCGCCCTAACATCAGAACCTCTGATCCAGGGGTCATGAAATTCACAAATTTGGAAAAGGCATCCTTGCTAATCATAACCATGTATTTGTTTAAATAATACCCAGGAGAAGAGAAGAAGCTTTTCAAAGAAGTAATGCACTTTCACTATATGATCTATATAGCCCCACCCTAGCACCAGAACCCCTGACCCAGGGGCCATGAATTTCACAATTTTGGTAGAGTTACTCTTGCTTATCATAACTATGTATTCAATTTGTTTCAATAATACCCAGGAGTAGAGAAGAAGATTTTCAAAGAATTAATGCATTTTCATTATATAATCAAAAGAACCCCGCCCTAGCACCAGAACCCCTGACCCAGGGGCCATGAATTTCACAATTTTGGTAGAGTCACTCTTGCTTATCATAAATATGTATTCAATTTGTTTCAATAATACCCAGGAGTAGAGAAGAAGATTTTCAAAGAAATAATGCACTTTCACTATATGATCTATATAGCCCCGCCCTAACACCAGAACCCCTGTCCCTGGGGCTATGAATTTCACAATTTTGGTAGAGTCACTCTTGCTTATCGTAACTATGTATTCAATTTGTTTCAATGATACCCAGGAGTAGAGAAGAAGATTTTCAAAGAAATAATGCACTTTCACTATATGTTCTATATAGCACCGCCCTAACTCCAGAACCCCTGACCCTGGGGCCATGAATTTCACAATTTTGGTAGAGTCACCCTTGCTCATCATAACTATGTATTCAATTTGTTTCAATTATACCCAGGAGTAGAGAAGAAGATTTTCAAAGAAATAATGCACTTACACTATATGATCTATATAGCCCCGCCCTACCACCAGAACCCCTGACCCTGGGGCCATGAATTTCACAATTTTGGTAGAGGGCTCAATGCTTATTACAATCATGCCAACAGTTTGACTGCTTGCTTGATGTCCAGGAGTAAAAAAGAAGATTTTTAAAGATTGCATTAATTTTGATGGTTTTGGCCCCACCCCTCAGGCCCCAGGGGGGCAGGGGCCACGAATTTCACAATTTTTGTTCCCCTTCACCCATAGATGCTATATGCCAAAATTGGTTGAAATTGGTTCACTGGTTCCAGAGAAGAAGCTGAAAATGTTCAAAAGTTTACGACCGACGAACGACGGACGACGCACGACGACGGACGAAAAGAGATAGCAATAGGTCACCTGAGTGACTCAGGTGACCTAAAAATAGAAACATCAGCTTCAAAAATCAGTTTGAATATAAGAATTCACCATGACTGGAGGGCAAAGCAAAAAGGAACAGGAGCTTAGCCCATGCAGTTTAAATGCTGAACAATCACTAAGGAAACCGAGTAAATGTTGTATGAATAGCAACCAAAACAAAATAAAATCTGTTAGATCTGTATTCTTACACCAGAAGTCATTGATAAGACTGGAGAACTGGGACTGAACTAGCTTCCACATAGGTCTTTTGAAATTGATCAAAACTGTAGGTTAAGCACCATTTTTACATTCTTTTTTAAGGAAGAATGCTTCACCACAAGTTAGTGATCTTTGAGACATATCTTTTAAAAGATGGTTTTGGCAAGGAAAGATTGAAATAAGCTCTTAATTACGATACATCAATTCTTTTTTTAGAGAAAATATATATAAAGGACAAGGTGTGTTTGGTGCAAAATTCGGCCCCGTGTCAAAATTAAATAATACTTCTCAAAACTCTTTGAGAGAGTATATATTTTCATGAAATTATCAATATATGCATGTACAAAGCTTTATTTTTGTTTTATGTAAACGTAAAGGTAGCATAGTTAACGATAACGTTGTGATATTTTGACGTTGCTTTATGCGACGTCATGAACAAGAATTTAACGTCATGTTTTAAAATAAATCCAGCTTACGTGTATATTTTATTATGTACGTTAATTAAATCTCATTTTCATAAACGTAGATTTCGATGTATTGGTATACATGTGATAGCATATCATGCTTACTAAAGACAAATCTATAAATCAATTGGTATGGTTGGCTTTGGAAACTTTTGAATCATAAGGGGAAAAAAGGGGTGTATATGTACAGTACATTCTTAGCGGATTTCTCTATTTCCGCGCCTCGCATTGACACAAGCAAAGTTACTGGCTTTGTTTGTTAACTTGACGAACCGTGATTGCCAAGCTTTGCAAAAAAGACTTAAAGACCGTAAGACTTTTTCTTGGATTTTGATTGCAGGTGTTCAAGAAAATGATTTTGTGTGTAATACTATGTCAGTATGGCTAGCAAGATTTTGGTCTTCCTGCTTATCTGCATTATATTTAAAAAAAAAAAAAAAAAAAAAAAAAAAAAAAGTTCTCCGCAAATGCTTGACTGCTTTTCTGTGGATTGATTTACATAAGTTTAACCATGTCCATATTATAATACTTTATCTGCGCTGTCCAGAGGCAGAGCCCATTCTTGAAAAAAGGAATGCATGCGAACCTTCGTTTATTCTTTTCTTTCAGCAGTTTCGGAAACGTTCCAACATCGAATTATCAGCTATTAATATCATTTTTTTCCTAAAAAAAAAATGCAGCTTGTTCCGACACGAATATATTAAGATCTACGGGTTATTGAACAGACAGCATGTTTTAACGATGTTTTAACTTTCACATTAAATCATCCCCGTGGTGGACAAGGAGCAAAAGGTACTACCTGGTTCATAGAGGATTTCGCGGAAAAAAAGAAAATACTAGTACTTCACAGTAAAGAAGGATTTTTCGCGGAAAAGCAATGTCGACTCGCGGAAAAATGTAACAGCGCAATTGAGGAATTTTCCTGTGATTTTTCCCAGAAAAGGGAGTGAGGTGTTCCATACCAACTCAAAACAAAAAAAAAAAGATCGACCCAAAGGAGAAAATTTTTTAAATAAAAGAAAACTAACTCTAACCCATCCTCGCAAGCCAGGGGTCCTGAGTCAACATTTTGACTCAGGACCACTGGCTTGCGAGGATGACCCCAACCTGAAATACCTATTTTGAAAGGGAGGTGTCACTTTACCTTCCTACATACATGTATCATATAAACTTTACAAAGTTTTCTTAATCCTTCCCCCTTCATATTTTTTGTATTTTTACTGTATGAATTTTATACAAGTGGTGGGTGTTGGGGTGGGGTCCGGATACCCCCCCCCCCCCTGCGGATCCTTACTGCTTCCTCTAAGTAATTGATACCTTTGTGACGACAACCTAGGCAAGCGGGTGTTTCAAGGAAAAAAACATTTTTCAGACTTTGAGAACATTTTATCATATAAAGGTTACATTATGAACTAATCTAGATTATTTCAAGGATAAAGTGCCTGTCTTAAATTATTTCCCCAGGAAAATTGTTCAAAGACAATCAAGTGTTAGTGAACAGATTTCACTGTTGTTTACTTATATCGGTAATCAATGTGTAAATACATGTACTGTATTCAATTACTTTATCTTGGTCTAATATAATGTTAAGAATACCTCAATTTAATATTGTGAACCTAAGTTAACCCTTGAAAGTAGATGGTCTTTTGTTCATAACAAACATAAAGCAATATTAATTTTATTTTGTTATTCGGGGAAAGGAAAAGGACAGTACAGTTGATACTATTTACATGTTTTATGGGGGGGGGGGGGGGTTCTATTCAATGAGAACTGTGATTACATGAAATATTTATAGTTCCTGTATCACATATTGTAGGCGTAGAAATTAAAGCAAAATAGTTCTATATTCAGTTATTGAATTGATAATTAATTAAATGTATATTTTCAAGATGACAAAAATTAAAAAAAAGGGGGAATAAAGTTGTTGTGGGAAAAGTATCATGTTTATCATGGTAATGAAATTTCAAGTAAACCTTTACCATTTATACATGTAGAGGGTAGGTTAAGATTTTTTCGACATGAAACATTTTTTTCCAGTTCGAATCAGCATTGAAACTACGTGCCTGAACGTTACTTGTGGATAAACTGAGGGTATAAACAGATTAAACAAACAAAATGTACACAGGAAAAAAATCTCAAACAAGGGGGGGGGGGGGGGGTGAGGCCCGGCACGCCGGTGCTGGATCCGCCTTTGAATACATATATATTATTATAACAGTAACTCGGTCCGAAGAGCCGTATCACCTCAAGTTGACCGGCGCGGATCATCAGATCAAACGAGACTGATGATCCGCACCGTGGAATCCATTTCACAATAAATCCGATGCTTATACATCGTAATTGCATTTATTAAATAAATCATTTTCTATGTTCTATGACACCCTGTTTATATTTTATTTTAATTTTTCCCTCCAGTTAAAACAATTTACAAGAATAAAATCAGCTATATTTTTTACGATCACTGCATTACATGTATGAGCCCCGTTTGAGAATAGTTCACTTATGCACAGATATCAGTGGATATAGTTTATCATTTCTTAGCAAAGATTAATATCTGTTTTAGTAAACAAGTCAGAATTTATGTTTTGTATGTCCGCGTAGAAAGGCAATACTTTTTCGGATATTAATACAGAAGGATAACAAGCAAACGATGTGATTCTTGACAATCAAAGGGAAACACTTTTTTATCCTCTGCCATTCGTCGCTTCTATATGATGTTTCTATATTCAATTTATATAGGTCTGTCGATCTACAGTTATATTAAGAATATAAATTTAGAGGAGGAATTGGACACGACCCCCCATCCGATATCATCACTCAAGTAGTAATTTATACCCCCTCCCAAGTTTATTGTTTTCTTTTCTTTTTTTCATAATGTACATAATACATCCAACCTTTATTTAATCGCTATTAAGTACATAAAATGCTATATATTACCCCTTTTTGACCATCTCGAGAAATGATGTGACCAAAATACATTTATGTGATGTATATGGCTTTACGGGTATCTTTTATGAATTCTTCAAAAAAAAAAAAAAGCTAACAGAAGTCATTGATAAAACATTTATGACAATCTAGATTATGTTACATAGATAATGTACATAATACATCCAACCTTTATTTAATCGCTATTAAGTACATAAAATGCTATATATTACCCCTTTTTGACCATCTCGAGAAATGATGTGACCAAAATACATTTATGTGATGTATATGGCTTTACGGGTATTTTTTATGAATTCTTCAACAAAAAAAAGCTACCTGAAGTCATTGATAAAACATTTATGACAATCTAGATTATGTTAGGAACTGATCAACATTGCATATATTTTATACTGAGAGGCACATTGTTAAATCTATTGTGATATTTTGCCAATTTAATTGTCTTCAATCTTGGAAACTTAGCCTCTAATTTTTACTACAATAACTCAAAAAATCATATCCAGTGCAGTAGCTGCCATTAGGCACTTAAGGCACGTGCCTACACTTGATTTTTTTTTTTTTCAGAAAAAAAAAACTTAGAAACAAAACTGTAAAAAAGAAAGAAAATAAATGACTAAATATCATTTCGCCATTGATAGAGAGATCATGAATATATAAACAACCACTGATCTGTGCAAAGTAATAAATTTAACCTGCAATAGTTAACCGGCTGTTTCACTGTAGGACTTCTTATAAGATGTCTTGAAAATTTCTATATGCAAGTACATGTCATTAAATATAGATACAAAACTCCCCTGACGCTCACAAGATATGTTATGTGTGGTATTAATTTTCATTTTAATTAATAATTAATTTGAATTAAGAATAATTAAATTTTTTATGGCTGACCACCCAAATTTACCACTTCTTTGTGGGTAGACTAGATTAGCTTTTTTTCTGAAAAAAAAAATCATTATTTATTGTAAAACATTTCTTTGAGTCTGATTATCTTTGAATACTTTTCTTCTTCATGTTCTAAATTTGATTACTGAAAAAATATGAAAACTCTTCTAACTAAAGATTTCTGGTTAAAAAGTTGGACTGCACTTTCTTAGCTTTTCTACTTAATATGAAATTTCATTTTAAAGATACCCAGAATTTTGTAGCTTAAATGCCCAGAATTTGTCACCCAGGGGTCTTAAAATCGTGACATCCATTTTCCGTCAGGGGGGCTTCGCCCCCATGAACCCCTTACCAAGGCGCTGCCCTGGACCCGCTGGGAGCCTTGAGCGGCCCCAAACCCCTCGCCGCACACAGGATAATTTGTGCCTATACTTCATCAAAGTTCTAGCTACACCCTGATTATTATCAAAGTACATGTAAATGGTCCATTTTCCCAACAGGTCAAATAGATCGGCGAAACCATTGTGACGTCAATTTTCAAAAATGACGTATAATTGTTTTATACTGTTCAGCTTGACATGAATATGGACACAGTCACTGGGTAATAAATAAACTAGATGTAAAATAATATTTATACGACAAGTGTAAATACTGCACTTTTTTGTGAACTGCTACTTTTTTCAACCACCTAACGTCCAGATATATAATCTAACTCGGACCACTGTCGCCTAGTTAGGGAGTGCGGAAGTAAGATGCTATATATCGATACTAATATAGGCCCAAGGTATCTGAATTCGAACAACGTGTAAAGAATTAATACAGACCAGATCTTCATAACATTGATATGATGATTTCTTTCTTTATATTAAAGGATTTTTAGCAATACATGGCGAGGTATATTCTCAATATTATTTAGATATAGCAAAACACCGTCGAATGCATGTGTATTGCATGCTGTAAAATGAACACATTTTTAAAAAATAAACATGGTCCGCACAATATCACCATCGTAATTTTTTGCATATAAGATGCTTTCAAATTGATGTTTCATTTGTGAAAATTTCAAAGTGGTGATATGATGCGGACCTATCGAAAAATGCTTTTAAGTCCCTGACTTTAACGATTTTTCCGGAAATACGCATTCCGTGCATGATTTGACCACGAATAAACAGTATACAGGGGACACATTCTCAAAGTTTGGGTTTATTTTTTTAACAAGCATGTATCCAACCTTTATTTTCAATGTAAAGTTTTGATTCAGCGTAAACTTTAATTTTTAGAAATTCTCAGGGCCAAATATTATATCAAATGAACCTTGTCCTTTGTTTTATTTTCAGATACGATTATTACTACAGAATTTAAAAGGTGCTGTTATTTATAAATGCTAAATATAACAAGTGGTGTTTGTGAAACCCTTACATGTATGCCTCCCCTTTGGACATACATTATAGGGTTTGTTCGATCGTACCCAAAACAGAACTGACCTTAATATTCTTATAATAAATCTGTAAACCAAATTTTATTTCAGTATGTGCAACCTCTGCGAAGAAAATGAATGGAAACTGCAAATAATTGGAATTTTTCTAAGTCTAAGGGGCATAACTCTGTCAAAAATTGCCCTATTTGTACCCAAAACAGAACTTCAACTAGATATTCTAATGATAAATCTGTATACCAAATTTTATTTCAGTATGTGCAACCTCTGCGAAGAAAATGAATGGAAACTGCAAATAATTGGAATTTTTCTAAGTCTAAGGGCCATAACTCTGTCAAAAATTGCCCTGTTTGTACCCAAAACAGAACTTCACCTAGATATTCTTATGATAAATCTGCATAGCAAATTTCATTTCAGTATGTGCAACCTCTGCGATGAAAATGAATGGAAACTGTTGGTAGACCGAAAGACAGACTGACAGACAGCAGCAAAGCAATATGCTCTCCCTTCTTCAAAAGGGGGGGGGGGGGGCATAAATATATAATCAAATCAAGATGTGTTTGTGCAACAATGATGCCCCCATACGACAGTTTATGGCAAAGGTTAAAGTTTCTCAAATGCAAGTCAACCTCCAAGGTCAAGGTCAAAATATCAAACATCTTGTTACCCAAAGAAAGGACTTGTGTCAATGAATATATTTGTGAAATATGAAAGCCCAAGCACCAACCATTCAAAAGTTATGCCCAATGTTCAAGTTTTTTTTTTAAAAGTGGGTCAAACTGCTAGGTCAAGTTCAAAGGTCAAAATTAATGGTACCCAAGGAAAAGCCTTGTCATAAGAAATACACATGTGAAATATTAAAGCCCTAGCACCATCTGTTCAAAAGTTAAAGCAAAGATTAAATTTTTTTTTAAAAGTAGGACAAGGTCAAAAGGTTGGTACCCAAAGGAAGGTCTTGTAACAAGGAATACACTTGTGAAATATGAAAGCCATAGCTCAAACCAATCAACATGATCAAAAGTTATTGACAAGGTTAAAGTTTTTGCAGAAAAACAGACACAGACAGACAGGGCACATTTTTTGTGCAATAAATATACACTTTTTTAATAGGTGGCAGTTGAGCACTCTGGTCATCCATCCATTTTTTTTTTCAGAACAGCAAGCTACATATCTGCAGCTAGCACCATTCAAGATATTGATTATGTCTGACTTACTTTTTCTGGGACAACCCTTGTAAAATTGAATTATATTTATTCACAGCGGTGCTTTTTACAACTGAAATTACATATATAATTATTCCTTCTTAAATTATGAGGTTTAAAATTAAGCAAGGTAGTCTTCATACATACCTACTTCTGCAGGTTTTCCAGACGGCACTAAATTTCTCCTCTCTGAAAATACATCATTAGATTATAAAACAAATGAAATTAAAATATATTATGTAACTCCAATTAATACATACTAAATTTTGATCTACAGAAGTTTCTGCTTCTTTCATTTTGAAATTTGGTAGAGATACACATTGTTTTAAAAGAGAATATCCCCCTTAAAACATGTGTACAAGCAGTGCTCAAAAAGTTCACAAACTATCTCTGTATCTATACATAACCACAATTCAGATCAGAATTAAATTTGGCATACATACAGTAATAGACATGATCTACAAGAATTGTTACGTATTATATTGCTACATATTTATGGTGTCAAAATTTAAAAATGATTTCAATAGGTAGAGACTTGTGACAAAAAATGGTTGACTCAGTTGTACTCGAGCAAGGAACATGTAAGGTTTATAACGACAAAAGACTTGCCAAAAGTTCAACTAGAAATCTGACCAGTCAGCAAGGGCCCCACCGAGGGGTAGAAATATAAGGGTGCAGATTAGGGAATGATAATTTTACTTGATTACAAAAATTTGAAAATATATGAAGAAGAATAAGCAACAGCAACTGTTTCTATAAAATTTCAAGATAATTCCTAAATATCCAACAACCTGTAAATAGTATCCTTGTATTTACATAAGGCAGTAAAAAACATCATATCTATTTTACTCAATTAAATGTATATATATTGAAAGAAGAGTGAAGCATGTGTTTTCTAAAATGCCAGCCTTCAGTGAATGCAAATATCACCGAGGCTTGACCATAACTTCAAAACAAAGATCAGTTGCAGACAAAGGTGTTAATTAATCTTAAAGTGACAGATAAAGATAACCCTCAAAAAATTTTCTGCAATCTGCAAGATAATCAATCCCAGGGGATTAATTGTACTGCTCTCTCATCCTTTTCTTCTAAGTTTACAATAAGAACTTTTTCAGCAAATAGAATGAGATTATTATCTGACTACCTGTTAAAATTAATAGTATTCTTGAATTTACATAAGGCAGAAAAAAAGACAGGAAAAAGAAAAAGAAAAAAAATTAAATTAAATAATAATAAAAAAGATATCTTTATCTATATCCAAATATAATAAAATATCTAAAAAAAAGTTATTAGAAAAAACAGAAAATTTGTGGACTGAAGAAAGACATACTGACAGACAGATGGACAAACAGACAGACATACAGACAGAGTGATTACTATAGGGCACCCGCAAATCCTTGCGGGGCCCTTATTTAATAATTTGATTATTTTAGTGAAGGAAGGGAGATAGTTAGAAATGTTCATTTTGGGTGCTCAGTGAAAGTAAGTTGAGAAAGATATGTGTTCTATGTCAGGCAATTCGTAACAAAAGATTGCCAAATCACAGTAAGAAATAAAGTTGAATATCTTAATTAAAATAATTCTTAATCCCCTAAAATTTACTTTATGTGTTACTCATCCTCCTTTTAAGATTTAAAAGGAAAGTTTATTTGTCAATTTTTTACATGAGCTTAACAGAAGAAATTGTTTATGCATATCTGTATCAATCTTCCAATGATGAGTAAGTCCACACTGTAGATGATCATTATTTGCATTTGTAACAGAAATTTACACAATGGATGCATCATTAGATGCATGTTATATAAAGACCAGTCAATTATCAGATGATTTGCATTTAAACAAAACATTGGATTCCTCTTCTTGCAGGGGCATTAAACATTTTTATATCCGTAAATATTAAAACATGATTTCATATTACTATGATTTGTTTTTGTTTAATTTACCTTCAAAGGTTCCTTCTTCTATAGCTCTACCAGGATTTCTATCAGTTGCAAAACTTTCATTATCAAGTGCATGAAGTGGTTGTTGACCTTTGAACAATATTGTTTCCAAGTTAAATTTAAAAAAGCAAACAAGATGTTTTTGTGAAACACTAAAGCTCCTATACAGAAACTCATAGCTAAGGAGAGGGTTTTTTTTTTCAAAAGTACTGGTAGGTCAATTCCAAGGTCAAGGTCACAAGGTCCAAAACGGTGGTATTAAAAGAAAAATCTTGTCACAAGGAATATACAATTGAAATACACTACATGTAACTGCTTAGAAATTATTGCCAAGGTTAAAAATTAATTGAAGTGTGTCAAACTCTAAGGTTAAGGTCATGAGGTCAAATGTGTTGGAACTCAGAGAAAAGACTTGTCAAGAGATACACATGTAAAAAAAATTCAATGGTCACGTTCATGAGGTCCAAAATATTGGTATTCAAAGACAAGTCTTGTCACAAGGAATAAAATTTGAAATATAAAAGACCCTGAAAGGTACTGTACATAAACTGTTCAGAAGCAATGACAAAGGTTAATGTTCTTTGAAAAGTAGGTCAAACTCTAAGGACAAGTTCGTAAGGTCAAAATTATAGAAACTCAAAGAATTTGTCACAAAAAATACACAATAGAAATATTTAAAGCACAAATCGTTAAGAAGTTATTGCCAATGGTATTGTTTTTAAGAGGTTAGTCAAACTCTAAGGTCAAGGTCATAAGGTCAAATATATTGAAACTCAAACCATGTAAATCACCTTTTTTTCTTCGTGAATACCGTCTGTATATAAAAAATCCGCCTAAAGCAAAAGCCACAACAACAAGAACCCCAACTACTATCCCTATGACAGAACCATTGTCTCCTCTATCTTCTGTATCTGCTGCAGACCTGAAACAACAAATGCAAGAAAATATACAAATTATTGTGATTTTTAAAAATTGGGGAATAAAAATCCTTAAAATAAACATGAGGCTTCCTGAGGAAACAGATATGCTCACTTGCCTACAGCCAGTACCATAAACCTTCGTGCTTGGTCAATATGTTTTCTCTAAGGTCTATATATCTAGGGAGTGACCTCTTGAAAGACTGTATTTGTATGATGATTTTTTTTTATTATCATTATTTTTTTTGGTCAAATGTGTAGAGTATTGGGCCACTAGAATGGTAGATTATTTTTTTTTTCAATCTGGCATGATGAGTTGTGTGTGCAACAGTTGTCATAATATAATTATGGAAAAAATAGATTCTGCACACCTTCCTTGTAAATGTAAACATAAGAGCTTAAGTATAATATTCAATACATCTATACTTTTAATGTATCTTTCCCTGGTAAACACACATTAAGCTTACCCATTAAGCACAGGCCCTGTTTCAGTGACCACAGTTGTTCCAGAGGTGGAGGGATTCACTGTTGTTGGATTTTCTGTTGTTGATTTCTTAGTAAGCTCGTAGCAACCAGGATCTGAAAAAAAAACTAAATATCAGTTGTTTTATAGACATCATAAGATTCTTAAAATATTATACAATTCATTACTGTTTTGTAAGTAGTCTGTGCTTTTCTTTTTACCGTGATCTTATATTGGCATGCTATGAACAAATGAATCCTAATTTCTGTACATAAATGATGATTAATTGTAATGTACGTTCTTATTGGTCCCTTTTACAAAAAAATTACACTGAGGTTGAAAATGAAATATGAAGATAACGAACAGTAATCAAGGTCAAGAGTCTATATAATTTGAAACATAACAGCTTTGATCTCCCATTGTGGCCAAACTCTACCCCCGGGTAGGGTGTTTTGAACAAATTTGAATATACACTACCTTTCTGGCCCAGTGGTTCCTAAGAAGAGGATTTTTTAAAGATGCCATTAATTTTTCACTAATTCACAATTATCTCCCCTTTGAAAAGACGTGGCCCTGAATCCCCTTTATCCAAGGATACTCTGTGGCACGTTTGGTTGAAAATGGCTCAGTGGTTCTTGAGAAGAAGTCGAAAATGTGGAAAGTTTACTGACAGACAGACTGCCAGCTAGATGGACGCTGGACAAAATGTGATCAGAAAAGCAAGTGACCTTAAAAGGAAACAAGCAAGCCAATATAACTCCCCCCACACCACCACCACCTCCCCCTTCACGAATAAAGGTCATGGCTGAAGAATCTAAATTTGAAGGCCGTGATGAACAAGAATCAGACTTTAATTTTGATAACATAACATCAGAGGAAACTGATGCAGAAATCAATGTTGGACAGTTACTGAATATGAAATGGAAAGAAAATAAAACATTGTAATGTGCAACACAATATAAGTACCCTCAAGTTTGAACAAGCAGTGAAGCTTGGGCTAGTAACTTTCTTAGGGGGCTGAGTAACATTTGCTTGGATGGTAAAACTTTTCAGTATGACTGGATATATAACAGATACAATTCAGCAGTTTGAATTCCTTTAAATGTTAACAAGAGGATTTTTACCAAACATAAAATTGCCTTTATGTTCCCATGCAGGGTTCAACACTAACATTTCTGGGTATTAGTCCTGGTCAAACTAGTGATTCATTACTACAGTGCAGGAAACTAATTTTGTTACAGCATCGATGCTGATTTGAATGCTTCCTTTGCTTGCTGATTTGAATGCTTCCTTTGCTTGCTGATTTAATGCTAGTAATCCTTATCCTGATGCTGTTTTATAATTAGGTCAATGCTACCGGAAGTAGCATCATGCTACTGGAAGTAGATAATGAATTTCAGCATTGCCGTTTAAAGCAATAAAAGTGCCTTTTACAATTATTTTATCATAATATCTCACTATGTATCAATAATGTGAATACTTTAACCAATATTCTTTCTTTCTTTTTTAATTTTTTACTGAATTAAAACTCATTGATTTTCTGATGCTAGTAGGATAATGCTGATTTTATGTAGGTCAATGCTGGTTTTATCCTTTGCTTTCTGATGCTGATCCTTGTAATGCTGTTTTTTAAATGCTGATGCTGATGCTAGCTCGATCCTGATGCTACTAATGCTTATGCTGATGCTGGTTTATGTAACAAAATTAGTTCCCTGCACTGTACATGTATCATCAGTCAAGAGTGGTTTTTAATAATTATTACATCAAAAATATCATAAAAACATCATCCGTTTGCATACTCACATTTGTATGCTTCATCAGAGGGATATCCAGTTGGACATGGTTTTTGGATGAAGCCAGAACAAAGTGTACCTAAACTTTGTTGAATTCTGTTTGCACTGTAGCTGTATTCTGTACAATAGCCTGCAAAATTGTTATAAGCATATTCTTAATGTACTACTGAATTACAATCAGTGTATATGTGCATGCTTAATTGGTTTCGAAGTTGCACAATAATAGCACTATGATCATGAATCAAAAAATTTAAAACATTGGAAATCATGTTCTAATGCAATTGTTTTGTAAAATGATTTTTGATTGGCTAATACAATGATGTTTCAGGAAGTTAAACGAGAGTGAATTTCAAAGCTTTTGATTGTGACGTCATAAGAGAGCGACGCAAAAACACAACACTCCCTGACGTATTTCATATAACAAAACTCAACAAAATAAGACGTAAACATCAAACAAAAGGCAATAAATTGCATTAGATTGGGAATAACTATCTTCTAATTTGGTATTTGCGACCTTTAATGCTGATTTAACAGTCGCAAACATCCGTTCTACCCCTTACGCTTCGCCGGTAAAACTCAGTTTGCGACCATTAAATCAGCATTAATGGTCGCAAATACCAAATTAGAAGATAGTAATTCCCTAATTTAAATAAAGGAACATTAAATTTTATTCAGCCGTACAGGAGTTGCAGATAAAAGATGGGTACCCTTAATATAGTTATAGAGAGAATAGCAATGTCCATGCTATGGAAGACTCAAATATGAGTCTGATTAAAATGTAAATTAGGAGATGCACAATGCCACTATGAAATAAGGATATGGTGAAATTTTCATTAAATTGCATTCAGTGGTACATGTGTAAGAGGCGTTGCAGATAACAAATTGACGGTGTTATGGACAGACGGATGGATGGACATACAATTGGACATCCCACATCACTATATACCCTCTACTTTTCAAGCAGGGGATATAAAAAAAAAACACAAATCAGATGTGATATAAAACATACAAGACAAACCCCCAACCCTACACCAAATTTCTTTCATTTACTCCTTAGCAATCTGGAATACATACCAAACACAATAGTCTTTTTATATACACAAACTTCCAGTGTTTCATTGAGAAATGGGTTAATCACACAATGGTACACAAATCTGTCAGGATTACTACACTGGCTGGCAAATGCTGAGCAGTTTTTCCTTTGAGAAGCTCTCATCCATTCTTTCTCACTGGTTGGACAGTTTTCAACACTTTGTACAGTTTTTTTAGATGCAGGACATGAATCAGTGTTGGCTTTTGTTATCTGTAAAATATTATTAAATGAATGAAAGATTGTAATGAATTAACTAGCTGAATGCAGATAATTTAATTTTTAAACCAAATGCTGGCCTGAGTTAGTTAAAAAAATGTTGGGCCATCAAATAGTTTAAACACAAAAATGTACTGGTATATAAACTGTATAAATATATTTGGGGGCAGTATTTTATTTATTCTCAAATAAATGATAATTTAATTTCAATAGTGGATCAAGAATAAAGAGTTTGTTAATTGCTATTATGTGGACTTTCTTGGTCTTTGCCCCTTCTGTCAAAACTGCAAAGGGAAGGGGGTTATGGGAATGAATGACATAATTTTGTTTCCCTTCATCCACAAATACTATGTTAATACCAAAATGTGTTGTTTTTTTCTTTATACAAGAAGCTGTAATTGTTCCAAAGTTTACAAAACATGCAAAGCAGTAAAATAAAAGTTTGCAATTTCTACATGTTCTATGGATTCAACTGTGCATCAATATACTAGATGGCAAAAATAAGGACTTCAAATTTACCAAAGTATTCTTTGTAGTAAGTTTTTTGTTGAAAGTGATAGAAGAGATGAACATTAAAGTTTGAAAAGTTTTCAAATGCATTTATATAGAAAAGTATATAGAAGTAGCTTAATTAGTATACATGTACATTTTCATAATATTATTGCATGACCAAAGTTAGTTTAGTTTATTAAAATGTATTAAGATTATACATGTAATTGAGAGAGTGGATCAAGCCCAGATGCTTTATAATTATTGTAAATATATCATTTCTAATATCCTCTCTACACTGTTGTTATAGTTTAAGAGAATAAACTATTGTCATTGTCTACATCTGCAGGCACTTTCAGGTATTAGCTTATACAGTAGAACTCATTTAGTGCAAACACGGATAGAGTGAAATTACGGATATAACAAAGTTCTTTCAGATCCTGGCAAAATTCTTAACAAATCCTAGTAAAATTTTACAGTTATAACAAACACGGATATAACGAATTTCTGGATATAGCAAATTGACTTTGTATCACGAAAAAGTTAAAAATAATGCAAAATACATCTTTTAAATTGAATTATTAAGATCACAAAAGTTGAAGTATTGAGCTGACATTATTTTCCATAAGTATGTATGTTTGAAATTAAATTCATCAAAAATTTTTAGTTCTCGAAGATATTTTTGCATTTAATATTTCCCTGAACATATTTTGCAGTCATACAAAAAGGAAAACATGTGCATTGCAAATTTGTTATATATAATTTCACAACTTCATTATATGGATATAATAAATTACCAATATAGAGAAGTAAGTTCAAAGTCCCTAGGACTTCGCTATAACCGTGTTTTACTGTAATTACCTTAAAGTTTCAAAAAAGTGTAAAACTGAGAAGAACAACTTGCGTAATCATGATATTTGGCTTGTAAAACCAACTTTCAAATAAGTACATCAAATGAATAAAATGTTATGTATTGTACATGTACACTAGAAATATGTCCATAGGACATGAATGCCCCGCCGAGGGTTTATTAGTTATGCAACATGAAAATTTGTATTAGTGTATGAAATTTGATGAGAATATCTTGAATAGTTTCTTAAAATTTAAAATGAAATCTAAAAAGTTTGATACAGGTGATAAATTCTTCCCAAATTATGTAAAAGTGCATAAGCTTACATAAATATATCTTAAATGGTTCCTCAATGCAAATTTAAGAAAAGTGAGGTCAAGGTCACAGGAAAGTTCAAGGTCAAACATTTTTTATGCAGTTGAATAGTTCTCATAAATACATATATTCAGCATATTAAGTTTGATAAAAATATTTTGAATGGTTTATTTAAAACTTATAGTTGAAAAGGTTATATCAGTATGTATTAGCATATGAAATTTGATAAAAATATTATGAATGGTTTCTTTAAAATTGAGTTAAACACAAATTGAGAAAAGTGAGGTCAAGGTCAAATGAAAGGTCGAGGTCAAAAGTGTTGATGAAGTTGAATAGCTTTCATCAGAATATATCAGCATATGAAGTTTGATAACACTATCCTGAATGGTTTCTTTAAAACTGAGCTAAACACTAATTTAAGAAAATTGATGTCAAGGGCAAAGGAAAGGTCAAGGCCAAAAAATGGTTATGCAGTTGAATAGCTTACATTAGTATGTATCAAAATATGAAGTTTGATTAAACTATCTTAATGGTATCTTTAAAATTGAGCTAAACACTAATTCAAGAAAAGTCAGGTCAAGGTCAAAGGAAAGGACAAGGTCAAAAAATGTTGATGCAGTTGCATAGCTCTCATCAATATCTATCTGTATAGGAAGTTTAATAAAAATATCTTGGATAGTTTCTTTGAAACTGAGCTTTGAACTCAACAAAACATTAACACACTTGTAATAACACACATACGTGTCATGACACAGTTGATCACTTGACTGTCACTTATAATAAATTTTTCAAAAGTTGCACATAAATTGCTTCGGTGCAAGTGCATAACACCATTTTTATTTACACTTTGATACATAAATAAAATTATTATATCCTAATGTACCTGAAAAGTGTTTGGAACAGGCCATCGTATTATTTAGTGTAAGAGATATTTCATGAGAACTTTAACTTACCCACACATTTGAGGTTGTATTCCTCTCTTCGTCTTAATTTATACCAAAGCGAAGTGATAACACTTCCATCCCAAGCAAGATTCATTTAGAGAACATACTTTTCTACAATTTTTCACAAAAATCTTATTTATCCTTATTAATCACTTGCACCAGCCAGTTTTATACATTCTGACTACCTAAAATCTATAGTCCTGTAAACGTGAGCATTTCAAAGTGAAGTTTTCTTTCTTCTGCAAAATCGTATGAATACACACAATTTCAATCTAGATAAATTGTATGAGGTAAGTTGTAATATTCAACACTTATTACACATCCTCAGACTAGACACATGAATTTTACAATAATGCTCTAAAACTTGACATGTGGTTGGAAATAGACTTTATGACACTCTCCCTGTCATGATTGCTAAAGTACACAATGACTTGACGTCATTTTCAATGTCATATCTTGCTAGTGACAGCATAGGATCTACTGTAATATTTTTTGGGAAACCTTAACCTACTTGTGAAATATTTACTTCTTGCATCATGAATTTTATTAGTTTATTTATACATGTACTTTCATTCATTCCTTCCCTTCTTCACTGCATTTTTAATTTGCTGAAAGCATGAATAAATCAATTAGAAAAATTTTCCTTCCTGGTCAGCCTCTAATTAGAGATCTATCTTGGCAGAGAATTAATTAATCAATATTTATTTATTTTTAACTTGGTCAGAGCATGAGTAAATCATTTATTTAGAAATTTCTCTTTCCTGCTCAGCTGCTAAGTAGAGATCTGGCAGAATTTTTTTTTTCTATGTGGCTTTATACATGTATCTCTGCTAATTTCTAAATATAGATCATACCAAGTTATTTGTTTTAAAAAATATGTACAATCAAAATCAAACTAGGTTATACTCAACAATGCTCAAGTCCCACATTCTATATTGTCATTTTTAATTTCAACCTATAAAGGAATAGTCAGGTCTTTTGTAACAAAATACCAATATACACCACAGAAATTTAAAGCATGCAGGAAAATAAAGTACAAATTTTAAATTAAAACTTTTATACAAATGTAATGCTTGAAATATATACATGGTCAGAATGGACCCAATGTAGACATTGATATATGTCTGAATTTTATAAGGAGTACGGACAGTGATTGAAAGCATGGTTAACTTAATTCTTTTAAAGATTGCATGCATGTATTTAAGGGCTGTCAGTGGTGGATTTATAGGGGGGTGCACCCGGCACATGCTCCCTTAAAATTCAATTGTCAAATTAAGCCTAAATCATAGTTTCGTTGAGAAAATATAAAATGTCTACTCAGTAGACCTCATTTTTACCCAAATAAATCTCTAGAATCCAGAAGCTTCTAGGGGCTTGTGGGGGCTTGCCACCCATGCCCCCATCAGGGCTTCATCCTGGACCCAATGTGGGCCTCAAGGTGGCCCCAAGACCCCCTGCCTACTTTTTGCTCCCCCCAACTTCAATTCCTGGATATGTGCCTACCTGTCTTTACAGTAGACACATCCCTCATAAAATACATTTCTTCAATAATTTTTTTTCTATAATGGTACATGTAGATAGCATATGCTACCGATAGATGACCTTTACATTGTTTTAGGTAATCTAAACTACTGAATATAGTGTCATCAAAAAGGTTAATTTGTTATCTAACTTGGCTAAGTTTCAACATTTGATAGTTTAAGGGTTTAAATCACTTTTTAAAGGTAAATATATACACTGTATTACATATATATTCTTAATGTGGAAATTATGAACTCCATTGGTTCATCATTTTGACAGTTTACATAGTTTTTTTTTTTATTTCTCCTTTTTTTTTTAATTTCTCCCTATCTCATTTTCCGTTATCCTCATTTTTTTTTTTTCAAAAAATGATTTTTGACTTTAACTTTCATTTTCCAGAATCTAAAAAATAAAATGTAGATATCAACAATGGATGGGATGACCATAATTACTTTGTTAGAATGGCTTTTATCATGCATCATTAGTGATAGCAGTAGATATTGACAAGATAATGCATTTATTTTGGAATGAAAGTGCATGCATGCATAAAACTGAGTGATTTCACATTATATGTATTAGTAACCAGTATATGATTAAACTCAAAATGTTAAATCTTGATTGCTAGTTCCAATACCAGCATGCTATTACTATTTCATAAATATATATTTAACTATTAATTTCCCGTCACTGCTACATAACAAAATATGTTCAATATATATCTGTAACAATGTTTTTGGCTGCAAGTAAAGCTTTTAATTTTTTAGTCTAGTCTCATTGTCGGAAACCCATGGTCAATCTCACAGAAGTTTTCCCAGTATCAGTAAGTGTATGTGAGATTGAACGTGGGTTTCCGATGATGGTCTAGTCTAAACAAGTGGTAATGTCCAATTTCTGTTTAAGAATTTGTCATGAATTCAAATGCATTAGAGATGGCAACCAAAATCACAGAAACACTAAATTCTAAGGATATATTCTAAGGATGTATCTGTATATACAGCATATTTTTGAAATTAGCTGATTGTAAAATGTATTTAAAAAATACTTCACATCTCTCATTCTTAATATGGAAATCCTGTAGTAAGAATTGATACATTCACAATATTCGTTTAAAAATGGTTAATTCAATTAGCATGGTAAAAGACAGTTGAAGATTTCTTTTTCATTCTGCAATTTTTTATTTATCGGAATTTTTTATTTATCGAAAAGATATAAGAGAGGACATGCAATAAAGTTATACCTCTAAATTCAGAAGGATGAACATCATGGCTGCATATGATCCTGCAACAAATAACCAATTTCAATTTGGTATATGTATACTTAAACATATTTTTTTAACATACACTTGAAATAGTTTCAGATAGGTGCACTTGTCATTAATTTGTTCTTTTGCACATTTCATTTGTCATCTTCAGTACATGGTTATACATCTGCAAGAACTGCATCTTCTCCTAATGAACTATAACTAAGCAATACACAATCACACTCTTTTTATATACAGTAATATGGTATTTTCAATTTTTGATTTTTATTTTAATGAAGATATTCAGACACACCTACAAAAACACAAAATACACAACATGCACCATCAACCAAGCGCCTATGAATTGAACAAGTTTATAAAGTCATGCATCTTTTCAGTTATGTTAAGACCTACCTGTGAAGCATGAAGTTGAACAATGAAAATGCGTCGGTTAAATAACATTTTTTTTTTTTAAAAAGTTAGTTTTGAGAATCTGTTTTTGGGGGTTTTTTGTTTTTTTTTTTAAATATTCGCTCATCTTCCTTTAAAGTTTTGTTATACGTGTACATACAATAGGCCTGACGTGTAAATTTACGGTTTCAAACAGGCATGTCAGTCGACAGTATAAAAAAAAAAACAAAACAAAACAGAATCCCTCATTTAAACTTAAGTAATACTTTACAAACTCCATTATTTATCTTACTTATCTTACGTTATCTTACGTTTACAAACGAAAGTAGAAAACTGCATGATGCAGAAATTAATAGTAAGACCTTGTCTATAAGGAAGACATTTATATAAGCCCTCTATTTCTCCAATTTTTCTACAAAACATTCAAATACACATAAAATCTCATTACGGTTTGGCCTCAAAACTAGGATTTTCATATTTTCCTTTGTATTTTTCCTGTATTTTTCTTCATCAGTTCATGTTCATTCAACGTTGATTTCCGCGAAAAGTTACTAAAATGCGAAGTAGAACAAAAAAAACCTGGCCAGCCGGAAAGGTATAATGTCCTGATAGTATATTAACCTGAGTGACCTGATCACATGTAATTCTAAAATACGAAGTAGTAATTAAAGTACCAAAAACAATTTTCTTTTAACTGATTATAATTAGGATACTAATTGTCTATGAGATTCATGATAGAAAAAATAAAACAGATATATTTTTTTATTTTCTTTATTTGATAGATAAAATTGGCAGGGGTATAATGCCATGATTTTGGGGTATAATGACCTGATGCCATGATAATATGAAAACCTATTATAAAAGCAAGTTTTCATTATATTTGTCCCGGGCCGGGAATCCGAAACTAAAACGGGTTTTTAGTTATTTTTTTTAAAAATAATATAAAATTCCCCCATCAATCACATCCATATGTCGTTCTGTCCGAGCAGATTGTACCTTTTCTTACGTTTAGAGAATGGCCATGTACGGTATTTTTATTACACCGTACATGGCTATTCTCTAAACGTACGAAAAGGTACAATCTGCTCGCATAGAACGACATATGGATGTGATTGATGGGGGAATTTTATATTATTGAGAAATTATAAGTTCTTACATTTTTTTTTATTAAAGGGGGGGGGGGGCTATCGATCCACACTTCAGGCGCCTGTGGTTAAATCCGATTGTCATAAAATACATGGGCCGTTGGTGGTAACCCCGGTTGATCTGAGTGAGTTCGCCCCATTCCCTATTCGCCATGATTCGCCCCAGTTCCAGAATGCTGAAGGCATTTTTTCCCGAGCTCTGTCGGAAAGGCCAGAGAAAATATGCGATTTGATACTCTTCATATGGCAGCTTAAATTCCTATTCTAAATAATTTACTTACAAATATTACATTTCTTAACAAGGATGTCACCTTCAACAGGCACTTAATTAGTATCGTTTTGAAAGTTGGGGAGGGGGGGGGGGTGGTAGGCAGGGGAAAAAGACAACTTCTATAATTTGAAAAGCAAAAAGAAAAACCAAAATTGGGGGGGGGGGGAGCAACCAGCTTTTCAGTGAACATTTATAATTATAGTAAAGGGTATTGTTCGGAAAAAAGTGGGAAGAGGCCATCCCCCCACCCCACCCCCAATGACACGTGCTTTTTTAAAAAAAAAATATAGAAAAAGTTTAATGTAGAAATTAACGTACAGTGAATAACCAAACCCGTACGAAACAATAATTTGTTATTTCAATTCGAGGACAGAAACAAATAAACATTTTCAATTTGCGTGGGCACTATATCAAGGACTCTGAAGTATGCATGTACCCCGGTTCTTATGGCCAAGATAACTGTTTCACTTATGCCAATGTTCGGCTTATGATATAGTTATACATGTACCCTAAAATTCTTTGCAAATTAGAAAACGGTTCATTTAAGCATTTAGTCATTAATCTTTTTGGATGTCGTCACTAACATCAGATAAACTTTAGTTACACCATACATGTATATGTCTTTGGTCCAAGTGATTCAAGGGCTCTCTCATATAGATAGAAGAAATAATTTCAAAATTTTATAAACTTTTAGGGTAAATGTAATGTAATATTTAAATTAGCATGGAAAGTATATAGATAACTAACAAAGCTGTTGTCACTTGTTAAATCAATAGATTTTTTCGCGTCGCATTTGAGAAGATCGGAAGCCTTGATGGGGGGGAGGGGGGGTTACGCTCTCTTTTCGACTTGATTTTTATCAAATAAAGATAACCACAATAACATTCCGGCTTGTTTAAGTAAATTCATTGCATGAGTGTATGTTTATTTTACGTCCCTTCCAGAATTGTCACTCATATAGGGACGGCACCATATACTCTTGCAGGGCGTCACGTCGACGCTCAGGGTCATTGAGCAATACTCGTTCTTTATCGTTCCAACGCCTACATGTATTCCGTGACAAACTTGGTATTTATCCGAAATTAAAGGAACTGTGACTTTCACTTCTAGTGCTGGGAGCGTGGTGAAGAAACAGTCACTTCCAATGTTTACGTCTGAAGCGGCCTAGCGGCACAGCGAATGAGAATTGAACCCGGGCCTCTCGATCTCGATCGAAGCGAAGGTTCTACAACTACGTACTGAGGTAGATTACAGCGACAGGTTGTTTAAATAAAAAGCAATGAATCAGATATTCAGTACCTTTAAAATCAGAGTCAGCAGAGTAGTGACATTTTTTTTTTCCTTTAATATTATTTTAATAATTATTGTAACTAATTAGATTTCTTGAATTGATATAATGTAAAATTTACCTTCATCAGGTCATCTGTATGATCATTTTCCATATCTTCCATCTAGAAGAACTTGAACCCACGCAGTATGCAGGTATGTAGAACCACGTGTTCACATCTATATTCCAGATTTTGTCACAATTATAAAGCTGGAATCGGAGTTGTTTTGTTTTTTAAACACTGACGCAGGTTTTCACTAATTATCGATACATCCATTTTGGGTATCTTATTCAAGCTCTTTACACATGCAACTTGTGCATGCTTCAATAACACTCGCCTGGCTATCCGGTATTGCACTGCACTACATTGCACTTTACGCTGACTCGGTTGATACATACAATTGTAACGACTGATTTGTTTGTTTGCATGTTGTTTAACGTCCCTCTCGAGAATTTTTCACGCATATGGAGACGCCACCACTTGCCGGTGGAGAGCTGCAAATTTTGTCCTATACTCGGCACTTACGGATATGAGCAATGAGGGATCTTTTTCGTGCCTACTGCGACACGGGACCTCGATCGGTTTATACGGTCTCATCCGAAGGACCGGTCTCCACGACTGATCAGCAACCACAATCAGAGTGCAAACAGTCAGGTTAAACTGACTAAATGTTGGATAAAATGGGGTTGGAATCATGAACACAATATATTTAACAATATACATGTATTTCTCAAAAACATCCACCACAACCCTAATTCTTAATCGGTGCTTAATTACGCTCAAAGTAGCCTATATGCATTGATAAATTCGTTTTAGTCGGCGATCGAATTCTTAGAGGAAAATAGCATAATGTCATGCTTACAATAATATACATGTTTGTGATGTTATTCTTAGCTAAAATTGTCCCACTGCTCTCTAAAGAAGGAATGTTACTTTTGATAAACATAACCTGCCGAATAGAGGAAGACATAACTAGAGACCATTTTGATTATGCGCATGCTAAAATCGCAAAAGCACGTTCCCTCTGTTTTGAGTCTCAGGAAAGCCGGAATTTGTTCTGCTTCCTAAAATATAAAAGAATATTAACATTAGTTTTATTATATCAATGAGTAAGAGAATTAATCTAAAAGATGCAAAAACATTGCTTAAAGAATAAAATTTCATTGATGCCATTACAGCTGTAATGTGAGTCAAGCTACATATGTGAGACTTCTTAAAGTTGAATAGTTTATAACCCATCATTAGTTAAGTGCTTAAAATTACAAATACAATATATCTATATATTATAAATAAATAAATAAATAAATAAACAAATAAAAAGATGAATAAATAAATAAATTAAAAAAAAAAATAAACAATTAAATATATATAAAATGAACAATTATACAATATGAAAACTTTTTTTCAAAATTGATACATATACATGTACAGAGGAAACAATTTAAATACTCAATGACGTACATATATCTTGCTCATTAAAAGAATATAAAAATATGGTTCTTCCGGACCATTTTGAACCAGATACTAAATACATAATTATACATGTACTAAATAATTTAACATTAATTGTGTCAAGTTTGAAAGAAGTCAACACATTATAATTATTATTTACAATAATATTCCTTTATATTTACTTGATCTTGTTTCTTATTTATATCTACTTGAATTTTTTTTATCATGTATATCTCTGAAAAATGTAAACTACTATAATTGAAACACGGTAAAACGCTTCACGATTTGAAAAACAAATAACAATTTTGAAGCAATTTCCTATATCAGAATATTTACATGAAATGACAAAAATAAGACGATATTGAAATATGCCACTTGATCTGTGTATTATATTAAAATTGTATAAATTTTCCTTAATTCTTTGCGATTGTGATACGAGGGGTGATCATAAAGTTCGCGAACTATCTCTATATTTACAAAACCACAATTCGATCAGATTAGAATGAAATATTTGGCACACATATAATCATACACATGTTTTATAAATAGCAGCCCAGATAGCAAGCTTACGTTGGGCCAACGCAAGCCCAACGGTGAAAATTACGTTGGCCCTTTGTCAGTTTTATGCGTTGGCCCAACATCATCTTGCTCATCGGCCCAACATTCAACCAACAAGTTGGCTCGACGTTGGGACAACATTCAACGGTTGGTTATCTGGCATTGGCCCAACGTTTAACTTCCTGTTTGCCCAATGTTTGTTCAATGTTTTTTAAAGCTAAGAATGAATGTTGGACCAACGTTGGCCCTACGTTCTATAAACATGTTGGCAAATGATCGGCGATTGAATTATTTAAGTTCAACAATATGAATTCCTGTAACCTTTTTATTTCCATAATTACGAATAAAACACAATTGATTGAATAAATCCTGCATGGTAAATTAGCTTGTTCCACAAACAAATGTTTTATTTTTTGTCGTTCCTATGGAATGAAATCAACAGAGGGAAATAAAAGTAGTTCAATGTTTTCTCAAGTCTATCCCATAAACTTCAATCACTGTATAATATTCCTCTAGAATAAGAGTCCCAGTGTTCAAATTTGTGAAACTTTGGAATGTTCTCCTACCACATATTACTTCTGAACCATTCACTCCTTTTTTCCTGTTCATGTTATTGTTTCTTTGTCTGTAAATTCCATGTCTCTCACACTGATAATTGAGATAAATCGCTCACTGTCCATTAAATTCCAAACATCAATGGTCTTGTAACACAAAGGGTTTTCTCCCCACCAGATGCT